CACAGAGCAGCACGGTGTGACACTAATGGTACAGCTTTATCTCAGGAGACAGCAGGATGGGAACAAACTGGCTCAGGTAGTGGAGATGAAGGAGGGAGATGAGACATTTTGAGGCACTAGTTTTAGCTACTTCCAACTTGTCCACTTGAAGTCAATGAAGGACGGTGCCACAGCTTATGATTTATGCCCATATTTATTCCACCTCTAAAAATAGCTTTTTTAATAGCATCTCAAAAATTTAACACAAGGCCATGTGAATGGTGGCAGTCTTTTTTTAATGGTAGCAACTAAGCCAGTCTAGACTGGTTTGAATAAAGAGGAAAAGGAGAAAAAGAGATGATCGAAAAGGAGTACAGTCAAAGTACTGATAAGTTGTTACTGAAAGCCAGCTGAGATTCTGTTAGGTGCTTTGTTAGTACAATCTGGGGTTAAAAAAACTTTTTCTAGCTTCTTTTCTATCCTGTGCTTGGAGGAATACAGATTTATTTTTTAACAGCAGTGTATTGTATATGTTGATCCATTTGACCCTTTATCTCCGTGCATTTTTCACTCTGTACTCCCCTGTCATCCTGTTGTCCTCAGTTCACCTTGGAGTTGTATTTCCAATGCAGGTGCTGCTATTTGTAAAGAGATGATAGATATAATTACATGTGTTTGCTTCCAAAACATGTATCATCTTTTTGAGCCAGGTTTCAGAGAAGAAAACAAAAGTCTTTGTCTGTCCATCGTGTGGGATGTGGTGTATTTTTTTTTTTTTTTTGTCTCAACAGTGCAATTACCTTTGTTGGCAAAAGCCATCTCTTCTGTCATAATGATACACAAGGCATAGCTACACTACTGGAGCAACAGCACCGGCCTGACCATAATGAGACAGCAATGCTATACTTAGCTGTGTTTTGAACAAACAGAGCATTACTACCTTGCCTTGCTTGCAGTGAGGATGAAAACTGACATCAACAAAAGTTCAGGATTTTCTGACTTGCTTTGGCTTCTGAAAATAGAGCTATCCCAGTCTGTTCTCACTCCATTTGCTGCTCAGGCTTCAGTCCTGACTGACCTGCTGTCCACCTGTTGAAGAATGTGTTTAGTGAAAGGCTGAATAAATAGAGAGAAGGAGGGGTGGGGGTTTCAACAGGCAAGATGGGAATGGACGAGCCATAGGAGCAACTGAACGCTATTCATTCTAGGTGAATAATGGCCTACAAAGATGCTATCAGCATGTA